AAGGCTTCGGTTTAAGGTGACATTTGTTAGGCATGCAGATTACTTGTTCCTCTTTTAAATTGGAGCGAGCATGGAGCGATTTGACTGGAGCGGGAGGACATTTTAGTGGAGCGAGGAGCGGTGTTGAGTGGAGCGGCTTAGTGCGAATTAGAGCGGAGGAGCGGGCGGAGCCAACAGCCTCCTGAGCGAGGAGCGGAAATTCTCACCGCTCCGCTCCGCTCACATGCTCTGGTACACATTCAGGATTCAAATCCCCAACCCTGCAGGTCTGAGCCAACAATGTGCACTGCTCCCCCGCCATGTGTCGGGGACCTTAATTTTCTTTCTTCCTCCATTTGTAATTTGGGATCTTAGTTCAGAAGTGTAACTGAATATGTCCATTCGGATCCATTTTCAGGTTGAGCTGCTCCGGCAGCATCTGGAAGAAAATCAGGCAGAGAGGCAGGAGCTTGCGGCAAAGCATGAGGAACAGCTGCATCATTTACGCAGTGAGGTCTGTGTGCTGCTGTCTCACTCATCACCAAGGAGAATACATTTATGCATTTAAGTTCAATGAAGCTTCTGCAAAGAAACAAGCATTAATGGCATTAAAACAAATATATTACTGAAACCCAATATTTATTCATTTTAATATTTGCCTCTACTTTTCATTGTTTTGAGCAAAGGCATCTGCTGAATAATTTTTAAATGTTCTCTTTTTTGAGCTCATTAGATGGATAGTTTCAGGAATGTTTGAAATGCAACGACTTTATGTAGTGATTCGGTGACTCCGTCCATACTTAAAAATGATCCACTGCCTACCTCAGATTTGTGTGTTCAGATCTTATTACAGTTGCTTTCACAAAATGCTCAAACCGTAGAACAGCACCCTAAAACACTGATATAGGTGCATCTCAGGGATGGGTTTGACAGTCTTCCAAAGAAGCTTTTTATGGCTATTGAAGGATCATGGTCAGTGTTTAGCTCATAAAAATCTTTTGAATTACACCCAAAATAACTAAACAGATTGTTACTTACACATTTTATTAATTATTTAAAATGACTGGACCATAAATAGCTTTTGGGTCAATTTCCATTTTAATAAACAAATAAAATGGCAGTTTGTATGACAAACTTTTACCTTGAAAAAAGAAACTAAGTCATATGCAAAAGTTGAATTTGATGCCATGAATATGTACTCTTTTGGAGTTTTCCAAAGAGCTATAGATGAGCAATGTAGTAAAAAAGTTACATTTCATAAGGATTTTTTATTTTTTTTTTTTGCTACATAAGACTTTTCATTTTTTGAAGCACACCATTATAGGATGGAAAAGTATAGGGGTAATTGACAAAAATGTTATGCTTCTATAAAAACCACCCCTTCCATCTGCAGCTGGCCAAGCTGAAACACAGCTATGGGAAGCTTCAACGCAAGTATGTAAAGGAGGCCAGAAAAGGAGCCCGGAGCCAAGAGGAGGACCAGAGTGAAGTGACTCGGCTTAGCAGTGAGATCGAGGTAAAGCATAGGCCTGGAATGTGCATAAAAAGTAGGGCTGATTAAAACAAGCACTGCCCCTTTCACCTGAAGAGTGACATTGTGCCTCACACTTTCAGGACAGAAGCAGACATTGACGTTCAGGACAGATGTTTCCGCAGTTTTTGTTGTCAACCTATGCAAACCCCACACACACATTGGAACACTGAACACTGAAACTGTGTGTTTCCTCCTGCAGGCCAATGACATACCATTAGGCCAGTGGTTCCCAAACTGGGGGGGGCGCCCCCCTAGGGGGGCGCAGAGGTATTGCGGGGGGGGGGGGGACCAATGGAATAGCCTCAGGGGCAAAATAATCTCTTCACAGACTGGACGGTTAAACAAATAAAGCAGCGCAACATTACAGTAACTAACAATATATAAACCACTACCTTACGTGTACCATTAGAGCATTTATGTAATTTATTTAAACTTTAATTTACCAGGTAAATTAACTGAAAACCAGTTCTCACTGCTTTACGTGATATTCGAGAGAAATAGCAGATAACGCATCGGAACTTCCTGGGATACAAACGTTATACAAACGTCACGTTCTTCAGCCAATAAGGGCAGAGTTGCGTCATCACGGAGGCAGTTCCAGTTTGTTCAGCCGGTTGAGCGGTGCTGTATGATCTGTCTTAAGTTGTCTTGCTCTTGCAAGGTTTTTGTACCATGTGACATGGTGACGCGTGACAATGTTTTGCAGCGCCGGACAAAAAAATCTAACCATATCATGAAAAACGAAGTTTAAAATTTTCTACATGAAGTGCAGGGAGACTATCAATTAATGGGTATGATTTAGTGTTGTTTTGTGTTATAGTATAGGCTGAAACCTGTGGTTATCATTAAAAACAAAATGCGGTAATCATGAAACAAACTTTAATTTGTGTACACCAATGAATATTAACAGGAACGTTAAATCTGCATTTGCATAATTTCAAACTTATGCTGGACTTTTATTTTTAATTGATTGCTCTTTTTTCTCCCACAGTGGTGAAATTGCACCATTTGTATTTTGTAATTGCATTTGTTTTGCTCAATTAGAAAAGGGAGTTGTATTTCAAATAAAGTTTGAATCTGAACTAGGGCTGCACGATATTGGAAAAAAATTACATTGCGATATTCCAAACGATATATATTGCGATATTGAGAGCCATCAATCCAGGCTAAAGTCAATAATTACCAATAATTACATATTAATAATTTCACTAATAAGCAAGCTTCATTACAAGTGACAAAAAGGTCACTTAATATTTTATTCCAAGAAATAGCAGAACACATTTTTAAATAAAACAGCAGCTTTACACCAACCCCCCTGATTGGTTTACAACAATATAACAAAATAAATATATTTTTTATAAAACAACTTATAAGCATTTTGGTTCACAATCTTTTAAGTCGACTTTTCTTAGCCAAAGTGCCAAAGTAAAACAGTGTTGGTGTTGGTCATTATAATCATGGCTAAATATATGAAATAAACAAAATGAAATAAAATTTTTATATATTTTGTATTAAATCTTCTAAACAGATTAGAGAACATATTCCTGTATACAGAAAAGCTGAACACATTTAAACAGCAGCTTTGCAACACCAACCCCCCTGATTGGTTCATAACATAATTTAAATATATATTTTTTTATAAAACAACTTATAAGCATTTTGGTTCACAATCTTTTGTTTTTAAGTCAACTTTTCTTAGCAAAAGTGCTAAAGTAAAACAGTGTTGGTCATCATCATAATCATGGCTAAACAAAATGAAATAAAACTTCTAAACTGAGTATTCTGAGTATATCAATAATCTGAGACCTCTTACAATGTTATTATTCTATTTTTTGTTAAAATCAACTTTAAACATATACTTTTCAAAAACCTATTTTCAGACATGCTGAGAAATTGTAAAAAATCACATTATAGACATTTCTAGGTAAGACTTTTGAGCTCTGAAGCTTATAGACACGGGTTGGCTACACATAGGTGAAAGAGACATTCTGAAATTTTATGTGGTTTGGTTACTAAAGTGTTAGAATTTTGGAGTGACACTCTTTTTCCTCAAAGTCAGTGGCTTTCACAATGAATATTGATTGAAACGCAAGAAAGTAGCAACAATAAAATCCCTTTCACAGTTTATTGGTACATTAGATGGAATGAAAAATGAAACTGTGACCATATAAATATAGAAAGCGATAAATATGATGCAGTGACTATTATTAACACTCGGGACGAGGGCATCGTCAACCGCGTATCTT